CACACACACACACACACACACACACACACACACACACACACACACACACACACACACACACACACACAAACATGCACACACACCATCACATTGCCATCTCTCTCTGACTGTCAGGTACCTAGTGATGACCAGGAGCCACAGTTGGCCTCCCAGGCACACAGCATGATGGCCAAGCTCAGGAACAGCGTTACCCCTCCTGCTGGGCTAAGCGACATGCTGTACAAGTTTGCTGAGGAGGCCGGTCAGATGGAGAAAAGGTTTACAGAATATCAGGTAAACTCTTGCTTATGTGAACATACTCTCGGACTATCTAAGACGGCCATTGTTGAAAAGAAAAGAGGCTGGTCATCTTATACAGTGTCATTTTATAATGCAAGAAAAGCACACCAAAAAACGCAAAGGGGAAGAGGGAGGGGGGATAAAAAGTGACAGTTTTTACAGGTGATTGTCTTATACAGGTGATTGTCTTATACAGGTGGCCACTATAACCAGTTTGACTACAGTATTTTTTTCTTTCATTTTTGTTGTTCTTGCCCACTAGGTAACTAAGTTGGTAACTCCTTGAAGCTATCTTAGCTTTAGTTTCCCACAGTTGTACATTATCTCCAAAGAGTCTTAATTTAAAACAATGAAAATTATCTAAACCTCTGAGTGTAATGGTGGTCTCATATATAAAATGTCGCTCTTGTCCGAAGGCCACTTAGTGGGCTACATTTTACCAGAACTGCTTATTGGAATCGAATTTTGACTGGATGAATCTTGTGTTGTCTTTTAGGCTTTGATACAGAGGCAACAAGTCCAGATTCAGAGTTACGCCCAACAGAACAGCAAAGAAGAGCTACAGCGGCTAAGGTAAATTTGATGAATAGTAAATTCATATTGCATTTCCCAGTATCATTGACATATTTTTATTTCTTGTGGACTTCTACCAGTTCCCAGTCAAATACTACGAATGTAGTCATTTCTTGATAGTAAAAACCTGGTTTTATACAAGATCTCCATTCTGTGCTGTTTGTCATGAATGGTGGAATGAGAATGGCTCATATAAGTATCTCTTCTCGATTTTGCCTTCCTGTTATTGATCTATAAATGTCTCTTGTGAGGACGGACAAGATTTGTCATCTCTACGTGATGAGACATGCCTGACTGCTACAGGTCAGGTGTAGTCTTACCCTTTTTTATGTGTCTGTATGAGTCTGTTGCCGTACCAGATGCAATAATAATTTTTTAAAAAATAAATTCAAAAACATAATATTTGGCCTGGAGGGAAGGGTAATGAAGAAGGAATGAAAGAAGGTAGAGAAGATGCATCAAGGTAAATTTCATGCATGTGCATATGAAGATACATGATGGTATGAGTTATTTCTTCATTCGAATGGTTGCATCTGCTTTTGGTGTGCATTGAGTCGTTTTCTTTACCCTGAATTGGAGGGAAGTTGAAATTTAAGGGCATGTTTGTAAAATAGTTGGATATCATTGCATTTTGCTGCCCTTTTGCAGGCGGGAGAATGAGAGCTTGGCGGCTTTGGCTCAAACGAAACTTGAGGCAACGAGCTCCGGAGGTCCCACTGAGAGTGTCAAGGTCACACGTGAAAAGGTGAAGGTCAATGTGATATAGTCATGCCTCTTGCACAAAAGTTAGAATTGATTGGATATGTTACTTTCACATTTCCACATACATGTTCAGGATAGTTTAATTACATAATATTTGCCATTTGTAGATAAGTCTCATACAAATGATAATTTTGGAAATTATCATTACTAAAGACTAACTTCCTATAAATCTTTTCTTTCCCTATAATCAATCCGGTTTGCCCTGACAGGAAGGATGGAAAAAGCGCGTCTCCGAAATGATCTAAATTGTGTCGACTGGGATGTAAAACATTAACACCTACAATAACAATCCATTTCTTCCATTTGTCACACAAAGGCTACTAACTTTTTTGGTATCTCTTTGTACCAAAAAACCCCAAAACAACCCAATTATCATTCCACTCTACATGAGATTTCTCTGTTATTTGATACTTTTTAAAATAAAATCACCATTCCATCTTGTTTCTCCAATAGTGCCAGCCAATAATCATTGAATGCCAATCTTAAATCTATTGTGTAACAAAGTCAAAGATGTCTTCTTTAAGTTTAAGAAAGTACATGGGTTTTGGGGGAATGGAAAAAACAAATTCGGTATTCATAATTTATATGTTTATAGAAAGGAAAAACCGTTCTTTGCAATACTATAATGTTATGACCATATCAATTTATGTAACATATTGTTATATATGATATTGGATTACGGATATTTAAAATGACCTTCTTTGTGGAAAGTGCTACAACCAGTCTTTTTAAATCTTTCAGCAACAAGCTGCCCAGAGCTCATATGGATTTACCACTGAAATGACAAAGAAAGTTGAAACCCTCACGCGAACCAATGAACAGGTATGAGCTTTGTGGTATATCAGAGTAGGCTTTAACTTTTTGCTGAATTTGTCTCTTTTTTTTTGGACAATGATAAGCCGTTTGAAGATTTTGAAAGAGGGATTTTGTCCTTTTAGTTCCAGCAGATTTAGGCTGACTTATGGCGAGTCTTGTCTGTGATAATTACTCAAAATGAAGCACATGTCACTGAAAGTTATACAATGTTGCCTTGAAAAGTAAAAATATTGGAGTTGAAAGAAAATTTTGTATGATTTAAAGACTTTCAAAGTGAAAAATAGTAATGGTAAAGAGAAAAGAAGCTTTTTTATTAAAAAATTTTTTTTTAAAGTTTGGTAAAGTGATTCCAACTGTTTTTTGTTAAAGTGGAAGGGATCTCCTAGGAGCTAGTGTTTCTGCTTTTGAAGAGTGGGTTCAATTTTTGCTGCATAATCTGTCTTATTCTGCAATATTTTAAACTCTTTAATGTCACAGATTTGTGTTGAGTATCTTCTACTGTTATCCTTTTCTCCTGATTTGTTATGGGATATGTTGACTTTCTTGCTGTTACATGACTAGACACCATTTTCCTCACATGGCTTTAAAAAGATTATCTTGTGTCGAAACATCAAGGGAATGAATAGGCAAAAAGCATTTTGTGATGATGTTAAAAACTTTAAATTTTATGACAAAAAGTTGGGAAATGTGAATTATTTTTTGTCACCATACCTTGGAGTTTGTAGAAAAAGAAGACAAAAACGTACCCATGATTTAAGGTGGAAAAAAATAAAATTGTAAGCTGTGGCTCCCTCTCCCTCCCTCCCTCTCTCTCTCCTCTCACTTTACATTGATAAAATCTCTGTTAACTGTTGTTGAACAGACAAGTGTGCCTGAACGTAAAGATAATACATTGTGTATTTGATGCACGCAGTTGTACAAGGCCAATAAAGACTGGCACAACAAGTGGGAGAGTTTGCTGCAGAAGACTCGGGAAGAGAAGCAGACGCTAGAGTCTCAGATTTCCTCGCTCTCCACCACGGTGGAGAAATACAGACAAGACCTGGCTGCTCTGGAACAACATTTAGAAGAGACAAATGTGAGTTGATGCGTTGGTCTTCAGTACTTAGATTTTAAGTTATTTTGGGAGGAATTTTGAGTCGTTGGAATAAGTTATTTTCATTTTCATGTCTTGAGTTGTGGTTTTTAATGAGGCAGAATGATAACATTCACATTTTGCCCTAAATCAGTTGCGATGATAGTCGGAAAGTAGGAGAGAAATTGGATCACCGGTCAAACCCGCGTGGGGTTTGGATTAGTTACAATCTTTCAATAAATCAAAATTGTTTGTATTGGGGTCAGG